AATGTGGGCCTCATATGCAAATGTTTGGTGATGGTGAGAAATGTATTTATGCATCCAGACTTTAGATAGTGTATTCTATAGCACGCACTCAAAGACCTATGGTCGCGGCACGGTGGCTGAGTGGATAGCACTCTCGCCTCTCAGCAAGTACGTCCTGGGTTCGAATCCCGGTCGGACCAGGGCCTTTCTGAGTGGAGTTTGCATGTTCTCCCCGTGTCTGCGTAGGTTTCCTCCGGGTACTCCGGTTTCCCCTACCACTAAAAATATGTACAATAGGTCTGGCATGCGCCTCCTGTTCGGCGACCCCGCTCCCATCTCTGTGTGGAGTGAGAGGACAATTGCCCAAAAAAATAATAACAATTGTAAACCGCTTTGTGACCCTTGTCTGTGAAAGGCGGTATATAAATAAACATTACTTACTATGGGACATTTATATATGTATAGACAGCAAAGAGTACCTGACTTCCCACGTTTTACCCTGCATTAAGATGAGATAAGATCACAATGGAGAAATGCACATGTCACATTTAGCATAGAATCCCTCAGATTGGGCAAAAAGCAGAATATGTTAAAAATATACTCTGTGCAGGTTTTAATTATGTGCAATAAAAAGTGGCAATAGCAGCTGGTTTTTCAGTCCTAGTGCAGGTCATAAGTGGCATAAAGTGACTTATTGTACAGTCTGACAGCGAGGGATATATATATATTTTTTAATCACTGTGTGTACTCACTACTCCTGTGTTTTTGCAATTCTTATATACTGTACATGCTGTTATTGTCAAAAGCTTTGTTATAAACGACACATCATATAATCAAATATTATGTTCAGTATTCTGTCATTCAAAGCAAAATGGTGCTGGATGATGAAAGCTGTTTTGTAATTTTGTCTGTTCGTTTTGGAAATCACGACCTCTTTTTCATCATGGGCCGTCCACAGGTTTCTCACTTTATTCGCACTTTTCTTTTTTTCTTTTGAGTTGTTCCTTGCCGATACAGAAGAGTCAAGGGCAGTGATGATCTGGCACATTTATCACATTTATTAACATTTAAAGACATGTATCAACCATAGACTGTGAATATTAACAGACGTAGTCAAGCCTATCTCCGCCGTTCAAACAAATGGGCCATATATGGTGCTCTACTGGAGCAATCCAAAATGGCCGTGAGTGGTCCTGCCCACAAGAAAAATGTGAAAAAACGCATCTGCGCATGCGTCAGCCGGTGTGAGCTCCATTCATTTAAACAAGAGACTTCAAAAGTTCACAGCGACTAAACTAGACTGGTCCAGAACACCCCCTCAGCATTGACACACATGTGGAACGGAGCTTTGGGCCTAGAGCCAACTTTTGGTCCATCCTGTAAAGACGTTTTTGAGAGGTCTGCCAATGCTGTATGTTAGCATTGGCTAATTCTTATTCCGGGTCCACCCCCATCGGCCCGGGGTGGTATTGCAGCATGTCAGCGCACATTATTTTGGCCACTTTTGAGCCGGGACCTGCCCCCACTGGTGTTAACATGTATGGACAGTGGTCATCCTTCTCACTATGGACCAATGCTCTATGTGTTTGCGTTTGATTCTTTGATCTGTCGTTGGCGAATCAACATCAAGAACTCTGAGACGACTGCTGTTGTGGTCTCGGACAAAAATACATGGAATTGATTGGATTGAAATTATTCTCATCCACAACACAATCCCATACTTCTATACTTCTCCTTTAACTGCTTCCAGGACCTCAGTGCCTCCAGACCTGCTCTATAACGCTGTGGACCAGAGTGAAAGTATCGTGCTTTAAGTGGCGGTGATCCAGGTTACGTTAGTTTGTAAACCAGAGACTTCATGCCAAGGTTAAGCTGAAACTTTAACCTACTCATGGGCCACACAGATAAGCGCAGGTCGGTGTCCTCTTTGGCCAAAAAGCTCTTCTGTTTCCTCTGAGTAGAAGCCAAGTCTCTCTGAAAGCAGATCAAATGCATTTACACGTCAAGCCATTAACCTTAATTGGGAGAATCTCTTTGATATTTTAGACTGTACTTGTTTTAGACACTGCATTATTATTGTTGTGTAGAGCTTAGTGGTGGGAATTGGAAAAAATAAAACGATTCGGTAGTATTGCGATATTTGGGCCACAATTCAATATTATTGCGATTCTTTACATATTTGATCCTGCAATATATTTCGATTCATGTCCCTCATATTATTCAAAGACATTACATCAATAGACATTACAGACAAGACTTCATTATTCTCTCTCATGAACGGTGAGATCCCAGCACATCACTTGCATTATTCAAATACAACAGACTAGAGTCACTAAAAGCAGACATGGTGGAGGAACAGAAACCTCAGATGAAAATTTCAGTAACTCAGGGAAAACACAACAATTAAACAGTTAAACGTCACAATACTTTGCTCTGCTGTATTGATTTAATAGCATACAGAATCGATCTTTTTCCCACCACTACTAGAGCTGCTGAACTAACCGTGACATGTGACCAGGGCCTTAGAGTTAGACAGTTAGAGTTTGACAGTTAGAGTTTGACAGTTAGAGTTTGACAGTTAGAGTTAGACAGTTAGAGTTAGACAGTTAGAGTTAGACAGTTAGAGTTTGGCAGTTAGAGTTTGACAGTTAGAGTTAGACAGTTAGAGTTTGACAGTTAGAATTAGACAGTTAGAGTTTGACAGTTAGAGTTCGACAGTTAGAGTTAGACAGTTAGAGTTAGACAGTTAGAGTTTGACAGTTAGAATTAGACAGTTAGAGTTTGACAGTTAGAGTTCGACAGTTAGAGTTAGACAGTTAGAGTTAGACAGTTAGAGTTAGACAGTTAGAGTTTGGCAGTTAGAGTTTGACAGTTAGAGTTAGACAGTTAGAGTTTGACAGTTAGAGTTAGACAGTTAGAGTTAGACAGTTAGGGTTAGACAGTTAGAGTTTGACAGTTAGAGTTCGACAGTTAGAGTTAGACAGTTAGAGATCCAGCAGACACAGATACATGGTTCTGCTGCGTTCTGCTCATACACAGTAAATATTAACGCCTATCTCCGCCGTTCAAACTAATGTTCCACCACTTTTGCCGTCTACGGACAGTCACAAAATGGCCGCGGGGGCTAGACAATGTGAAAAAACGCATTCGCGCGCATGCGTCAGCTGCACGAGCCCCATTCATTTAGACGAGTGCCTTCAAAAGTCCACAGCGACTAAACTAGAGTGGTCCAAAACTCCTCTCAACATTGACACACATGTGGAACGGAGCTTTGGGCCAAGAGTCACTTTCTGACCATCCTGTAAAGCCGTTTTCGAGGTACGAAGATACCTACAATAGCGTTGAACAATTATTATCCCTCGTCCACCCCCACTGGCCAGGGGTGGTACTGCAAGCATGTCAGCGCACGTCATTTTGGACATTTTTGAGCTGGGACCCGCCCGTACTGGTTTTCCAACAGAGAGGTGTCCCCCAGGGTTCTCCGGTCCCGCCTCCCGCTCAGGTGTCCTTGTGTTCCCACATATAGAGGCAGGATGCATAATTCAGCAGACCTGCTCAGTTAGCGACCTGCTCAGTTAGCCTCTGTGCATTAGTCTCACAGTTATCCGGAAGGAGAAGCATGTACAGGACACTAATTGCTCTGCGTAGAGGATGTGACACTAATGATAAAACAGACCTGTGTATTCGGTGTCCGACATGAACTACTCCAGAGCTGAGCGGCTGTAAGAGGCCCAGTCACTTTTCTATTATTCGACATTTTCTGATGGAAGCTTAAGTCTGTTTGTGTGTGTATGTCTATAACTTCATATACAGTATATTTAAATTCTTTATATGTACAGTATGTGTGTGTATAACTGAGGAGAGGTTTTTTATGTGAAGTGTTTTTTTTTTCAATTTAACTGCATGATGTGAATATTGTAATTGCTTGAACCGGACCCCAGGAAGAGTAGCTGTCCATTTGGAGACAGCTAATGGGGATCCAAATAAATAAATAAACAAATATTCCACACATGTTTGCTTTCTCATATAGACTTAACACAAATGAGCCTCCATCAGTAGGAATAAAAGGGCCTGAAGTGATTGAATGAATGAAAGAAATGGTGAGTGGATGTATTCAAGGCTAAATACACGGATATCGATAACGGATCACTTGAAAAAACAGATTTCTCCGTTTTGTAAAATTGTCTAAAAGTGGTATCCCTCTCGTTACAATCTTCCTCATGGGTAGTTATTGGCAGAACATTAGAATGAATTTTCTCAAAAAGGGGTTGGTACAGCCCTAAATCACAACAACAGTCGTCTGGGAGACTTTTTCACAAATTGGTCGATCAAACAGGACACAGGACATGCAATAATAACAAACACATAGATCTATTGGTCCATAAATGTTAATAAATGTTAATATACATCCTTAAATGTCCTTAGACTCTCCCTGCTTTACAAAATCGACTTGATGTAGAGCAAATTGTAAGCCTTTTCGGTATTTCTCTAACGTCACTTATATGTTTTGGTGTCATAGATTGAGATTCAGTTCATTTGCCTTTTGTAGTCACTTTGCAGGACTACCTCAGTGAGCATCAGACAGAACGCACCAAAGCTCTCGCGGTTAACAATTCAAAACAAACACAAGCTGCTAAAGTTAACCCTCACACTGTATGCAACAATAACAAACAAGAGAACCAGCGACAGACACTGGTCTTCCTGGTCACTGGTCGCTGGTCGCCGCTGACCTGCTTGTTCCTTGTGAATGAATGGCCGTCTATGTCTATATGAGGAAAGGCTCACGCTGTCACGGCTAAATCCCACTAATCCCCATTTCACCGGAGCTTGTGTGTCCAATGGCAGCCCCCCTTCGGCCCCGGGTCCAGGCTCCAGACTCCTCCAGGCTTCGGGCTCGGGGCAGTGACGGTCAGATTAAGCCGGGTTAGCTCCTCCTCTGAGCTGGGTGCACTTTCACACCGGGCCAGGCCACCACTCCCTGCTCTTTCTCTCTCTATGCTAACCCTTTTGCTCACTGATGGATGCACAATGCCCCGTGCCTTGTTAAAACCATGTAAGTAGCGTTTATCTCTGACTAAAGCTTTGTTCTGTGTTTGGTGTGAACAGGTGTAGTGCTAATGCTAGCTTCTCCACAGCATGAGGACACACAGGTCAGGTGATGGTGATGGTGTGAGGAGGATGTGATGCTTGTAGAAACCTGTAGAGCTTTATCTGAGGCGTTAGGAGGGGACTGGAACCCACACTGGAAAAAAGTAAAATTATAGTAAGATTTTTGCTAAAAATAACAAATTATGCTTCAGTTTTTCTGCTTAAATGTAGTTTGCCATGTAAGATTATTTACTAGATTAAAGATGATAATACTTAATAATAATAATAATAATAATAATAATAATAATAATAATCTTAGAGAAAAAAGTCGGAGCAGTGAGTTTTTTAAAGCCTGTTTTATGTATTTTTTCTTATTCTCAGGCAACTTTTCTTGTTGTTTAGATAAAATAGGTATGTGATGCTATATTCCAAGAAAAATGTCATTTAGGGCTAGTATTATTTTTTTATTTTCAGAAATCTTCAGAAAGCTCTAGTATTTTATTTATTTTCATATATATTTTTTTCATATTTGTTTAAAGGGATTTTTTCCAGTGTATGTTCTTGCTTCTAGATGTGGGATAAGTCTGTAGCATCTCCTCGATTTCAGCTATCCAGGCTAAAGCACACAGACAGGCAGCTCAGACAGACAGACAGACAGACGGACACACAGACAGACACATACAGACAGACAGACAGACGGACACGCAGACAGACACATACAGACAGACAGACAGACAGACGGACACGCAGACAGACACATACAGACAGACAGACAGACAGACGGACACGCAGACAGACACATACAGACAGACAGACAGACAGACAGACAGACAGACAGACGGACACGCAGACAGACACATACAGACAGACAGACAGACAGACAGACAGACAGACAGACAGACACGCAGACAGACAGACAGACAGACAGACAGACAGACAGACAGACACATACATACAGACAGACAGACAGACAGATAGGCAGCTCAGACAGACAGACAGACACGCAGACAGACACATACATACAGACAGACAGACAGACATACAGACAGACAGACACATACATACAGACAGACAGACAGACAGACACATACATACAGACAGACAGACAGACAGACAGACAGACAGACGGACATGCAGACAGACACATACAGACAGACAGACAGACAGACGGACACGCAGACAGACACATACATACAGACAGACAGATAGACAGACAGACAGACAGACAGACGGACACGCAGACAGACACATACAGACAGACAGACAGACAGACAGACACACAGACAGACAAACACACAGACACACAAACAGCTCAGACAGACAGACAGCCAGACAGACAGATAGACACACACACACACAGACACAGACAGCCAGACAGATTAAACTGGGAGTAACTGTGACATTTTTGTTCGTCAGGAGAACACTTTTGAAGATGTATCCACGTTCAGGGAAGTCCATCGTGTTCGACAACTTTCCAGACCCCTCGGACACGTGGGAAATCATCGAGACCATCGGGAAAGGCACCTACGGAAAAGTCTACAAGGTGTTCAACAAGAAGGATGGAAGCAAAGCAGCTGTCAAAATACTGGACCCCATTCATGTGAGAGAGATTCAGTACACACACACACTCACACACACACACACGCACACACACACACACACCCATACGCAAACAGACACACACTTTGTAAACAGACACACAATGAGAGCAGACGTATTTGTTTGAGGCCGCTACACAATCACTAACAATAGTCTGGCGGCACAATGGATGAGGAGATACTGTAGATAGCACTCTCGCTTCTCAGCAAGAAGGTCCTGGGTTCAAATCCCAATCATCAAACTGTGGTGCGGCTCATATACAGGTGTGGCTTATAGTCCAGAATGTACTCAGATGACAGTACTCTGAATTAGTCCATGCATTTATTTGTCTTCATTACCAAACCTCTCTGACTTAATTCATTCATTTATTGGCCTTAATCCAACCAGAAAAGTCCCACTGGTCTCAGACATGTTTTAGTGGTAGAGGAAACCGGAGCACCTGGAGGAAACCTATGCAGACGCAGGAAGAACGTGCAAACTCCACACAAAAGGCCAGGAGGTGGAAATAAACACAGGATCTTGGGTCATCAAACCAAGCATGTGGTCTTTCATGGCAAGGCAAGGCAAGGCAAGTTTATTTGTATAGCACAATTCATACACAAGGCAACTCAAAGTGCTGAACAAGAAAGCATTAAAATCATAAATAATCACAGAACATTAAAAAGAAAGATAAAAATATAAAATCCCTCAGTTGTATGCACAGCTAAACAGAACTGTCTTTAACCTGGTTTTAATCATTGTCAGAGAGGAGGCCTGTCTCACATCTTCAGGAAGATTGTTCCAGATTTTAGCAGCATGAATCTGAAAAGTAGCCTCCCCATGGTGTGTGCTTTTGTCAAAGTTTCTCATAAAAAATAGATAATTATTTTTGAATCACAGACTCATAATTTTCTTTTTGATTCTGCCGATGCCAGATCTCGTTTCCTTTCTTGCTATTTTACATCATTCGTACAAAGGCCTGAATTTGTTCTTGACATTTATTAACATTTCTGAACAGTGGCTGCATACTGCATGGACCAATGGCTTCAATGTGTTTGTTATTATTGCATTTCAGCGGCAAGAAAAAACATGTAAAATTCAAAGCAACAATGACATAGTTAGAGATTAAGGATTAGAAATATGGAGAAAATACATCCATACATAAAAAAAGAATAATAACATATATTTTTGTAACTATTTGAAAGAGGAGGGCTACTATCCTTACCACTATCCATACTATCTTAATAATAAGAATATTAACGGCTTATTAACCGAGCGCGAGGTCTGTATGGAGAAATATCAAACCGCGGCCTTAATGTACAGACCGAGCCGTGGCGTGGTTTTGTGTGATACGGGCTGTGGGCCAATTGTCATGGTAACGGTCTGAGATGGGAAAATATCAGACCGCAAATCAATCAATCAGAGCGCGCGTACAGTCCAAGTCATATAATAATAATAATAAAAAATGAATAATCTTTGTAAAGGTCTTTTTCTGCTCTTTCTCATTTGTGTGGCAGGAGTGCAATAGTAATACAATTGTGTAGTGGGCTCAAACCAACGTGTGTTATCGTGTGTCTTGTGTTAGTGTAATATATTGTGCTGCACCATGTACGCAATTTAAATACATTTTGATTCTCTGTTTTCTGTAAAATCCGCAACGGTGTAAAGTCCTGGGAGACGACTGCTGTTGTGATTTGTGGCTCTACATAAAACACATTGAACTGAATGGAATCATAAAACACTAACGGTTCTTTTCCTCTTCACAGGACATCGATGAGGAGATTGAGGCAGAATACAACATCCTCAAAGCGCTCTCGGACCACAACAACGTCGTCAAATTCTTCGGCATGTTCTACAAGAAGGACGTGAAGTGTGGGGACCAGCTGTGGCTCGTGTTGGAGGTACTTTCTCTCACATTCTTCCACATATTTACGGCCACATCCCTCACTATTGCTTATGGACGATCTCAGTGTAAGTCTCCAACCGGTAGCTCACCAGTCCCCGTCCAAGTAGCTCTCCAAAGGGCAGATTAATCATTAGGGCAGAAGTCAAAATGCAGGGCTGAAACTAAAATGTGTAGTTTAGTAAAATAAATCCAAGGTAACGACAAAACACACAAAAATCCAGAACTGAAAACAAGCCAGGTACAAACGTGTGTCTCTGTGTCTGTATGTACCTGTGTCTATGTGTACCTGTGTCTGTATGTACCTGTGTCTGTATGTACCTGTATCTATACGTACCTGTGTCTCTGTGTCTGTATGTACCTGTGTCTGTATGTACCTGTGTCTGTATGTACCTGTGTCTATGTGTACCTGTGTCTCTGTGTCTATATGTACCTGTGTCTATATGTACCTGTGTCTATGTGTACCTGTGTTTGTATGTACCTGTGTCTGTATGTACCTGTGTCTCTGTATGTTTATATGTACCTATGTCTATATGTACCTGTGTCTATGTGTCTATATGTACCTGTGTCTCTGTGTCTATATGTACCTGTGTCTATGTGTCTATATGTACCTGTGTCTCTGTGTCTATATGTACCTATGTCTATATGTACCTGTGCCTCTGTGTGTCTATATGTACCTGTGTCTCTCTGGGTCTATATGTACCTGTGTCTCTGTATGTTTATATGTACCTGTGTCTATGTGTCTATATGTACCTGTGTCTCTGTGTCTATATGTACCTGTGTCTAAATGTACCTGTGTCTCTCTGTGTCTATATGTACCTGTGTCTCTGTGTCCATATGTACCTGTGTCTCTCTGTGTCTATATGTACCTGTGTCTCTCTGGGTCTATATGTACCTGTGTCTCTCAGTGTCTATATGTACCTGTGTCTCTCAGTGTCTATATGTACCTGTGTCTCTCTGGGTCTATATGTACCTGTGTCTCTCAGTGTCTATATGTACCTGTGTCTCTCTGGGTCTATATGTACCTGTGTCTCTGTGTATCTATATGTACCTGTGTCTCTCTGTGTCCATATGTACCTGTGTCTAAATGTACCTGTGTCTCTCTGGGTCTATATGTACCTGTGTCTCTGTATGTTTATATGTACCTGTGTCTATGTGTCTATATGTACCTGTGTCTCTCTGGGTCCATATGTACCTGTGTCTAAATGTACCTGTGTCTCTCTGTGTCTATATGTACCTGTGTCTCTGTGTCCATATGTACCTGTGTCTCTGTGTCTATATGTACCTGTGTCTCTCTGGGTCTATATGTACCTGTGTCTCTCAGTGTCTATATGTACCTGTGTCTCTCAGTGTCTATATATATGTACCTGTGTCTCTCTGTGTCTATATGTACCTGTGTCTCTGTGTCCATATGTACCTGTGTCTCTTTGTGTCTATATGTACCTGTGTCTCTCTGGGTCTATATGTACCTGTGTCTCTCAGTGTCTATATGTACTTGTGTCTCTCTGGGTCTATATGTACCTGTGTCTCTCTGGGTCTATATGTACCTGTGTCTCTGTGTCCATATGTACCTGTGTCTCTCTGTGTCTATATGTACCTGTGTCTCTGTGTCCATATGTACCTGTGTCTCTCTGTGTCTATATGTGCCTGTGTCTCTCTGGGTCTATATGTACCTGTGTCTCTCTGTGTCTATATGTACCTGTGTCTCTGTGTCCATATGTACCTGTGTCTCTCTGTGTCTATATGTACCTGTGTCTCTCTGTGTCTATATGTACCTGTGTCTCTCTGGGTCTATATGTACCTGTGTCTCTCTGTGTCTATATGTACCTGTGTCTCTCTGGGTCCATATGTACCTGTGTCTCTCTGGGTCTATATGTACCTGTGTCTCTGTGTCCATATGTACCTGTGTCTCTCTGTGTCTATATGTACCTGTGTCTCTCTGTGTCTATATGTACCTGTGTCTCTCTGGGTCTATATGTACCTGTGTCTCTCTGTGTCTATATGTACCTGTGTCTCTCTGGGTCCATATGTACCTGTGTCTCTCTGGGTCTATATGTACCTGTGTCTCTCTGGGTCCATATGTACCTGTGTCTCTCTGGGTCTATATGTACCTGTGTCTCTCTGTGTCTATATGTACCTGTGTCTCTCTGTGTCTATATGTACCTGTGTCTCTCTGGGTCTATATGTACCTGTGTCTCTGTGTGTCCATATGTACCTGTGTCTCTCTGTGTCTATATGTACCTGTGTCTCTCTGTGTCTATATGTGCCTGTGTCTCTCTGTGTCTATATGTACCTGTGTCTCTCTGGGTCTATATGAACCTGTGTCTCTCTGTGTCCATATGTACCTGTGTCTCTCTGGGTCCATATGTACCTGTGTCTCTCTGGGTCTATATGTACCTGTGTCTCTCTGGGTCCATATGTACCTGTGTCTCTCTGTGTCTATATGTACCTGTGTCTCTCAGTGTCTATATGTACAGTACCTGTGTCTCTCTGGGTCCATATGTACCTGTGTCTCTCTGTGTCTATATGTACAGTACCTGTGTCTCTCTGGGTCTATATGTACCTGTGTCTCTCTGAGTCCATATGTACCTGTGTCTCTGTGTGTCCATATGTACCTGTGTCTCTCTGGGTCTATATGTACCTGTGTCTCTCTGGGTCTATATGTACCTGTGTCTCTCTGGGTCTATATGTACCTGTGTCTCTCTGGGTCTATATGTACCTGTGTCTCTCTGGGTCTATATGTACCTGTGTCTCTCTGGGTCTATATGTACCTGTGTCTCTCTGGGTCCATATGTACCTGTGTCTCTCTGGGTCCATATGTACCTGTGTCTCTCTGGGTCTATATGTACCTGTGTCTCTCTGGGTCCATATGTACCTGTGTCTCTCTGTGTCTATATGTACAGTACCTGTGTCTCTCTGGGTCTATATGTACCTGTGTCTCTCTGAGTCCATATGTACCTGTGTCTCTGTGTGTCCATATGTACCTGTGTCTCTCTGGGTCTATATGTACCTGTGTCTCTCTGGGTCTATATGTACCTGTGTCTCTCTGGGTCTATATGTACCTGTGTCTCTCTGGGTCTATATGTACCTGTGTCTCTCTGGGTCTATATGTATGGCCTTACTTTACTTCCAGCCCAATGCTCCGGTCCGTGTAGACACCGGGAGAGCCTGGTTAGTTGTAGAAGCAAAGACAGATTACATAAGGGACTTGGAGGAGTTTACCTGTGGGCCACACGGGGATTGTTTGTGCGGCGTGGGTGAAGTGGCGTTGGTGTTGGAGGGAGTTAGCTCGCTCTGGTGCTGACAGAAGCAGAGAGGGGATTGGAACGAGACCGCGGCCGTCAGACTCTCGCTCGGCTCTCTGCTGCGGTAAATGTAAACGTGGACTGGTGCTGATGTTGCAGAAATCATGTGTGTGCTAAACTGTCTGTAAGTCGAGATGTGACGTTGGAGAATTCTAGTTCAGTTTGAGGTAGGTGCTCATCAAAGGCAATGGGAAAGAAACTGTTTTAAGTAAAATGTCCAAATGTTATCAGTATTTAAGTCCTTCTTACGGGCCAACTTCATGCATATGTTTTGGGAATATTGTCATCACTTTTAGAAACCTTTATGACAAAGAAATGTATTTGTTTAATTATTTCAATGGATTCGTCAATACACAACATATTTCAATTATGTTTAAAGATAATTGTAGCCCCGTCGCACAAACAGGTTTTTGTTTCATGCACAATTAGCTCAAAACTAAAACTAGATATGTGGTTTTTGACAGTTTTCATTGTTGACCGGGACAGATTTTTTAGTTGTTTAGTTGCTGAACTAGGCTCTTTGGAATGTTGTGATGTCACACGAAACCATCCATCTTCTTCTTCCCCTTAATCCATTTCTGGGTCGGGGGGTTGCAGTCAGAGCTGGACCCAGTACACACAGCACCTCCTGCAGGTGGTGAGTTCACAGAGGTCTTGTTTTTCCAGTGGGGGCTTCAGGCAAAGTGGGGTTAAGTGTCTTGCCCAAGTACACAACAACAGCAGTCATCAGTGGGAGTCACGAAGTAGGTCCAATGGTGGGCTCGAACCCACAACCTTCAGGCTCAAAGACCAATGCTCTACCACCTGAGCCACTGGTCTAATCACTGATTAGATTAGACCATGATATTGTTCAAAGAAATGTGGTTGCTGTTTATAAAATGGGGTTTCATCAGTAAGATAAGATAAAACATTATTGATTTCACAATGGAGCAATGTACATGCAGGCAAACACGTGAAAAAGTGAAAAAGATATAGGGTACCATGTGTGTAACAACGGTATCTTATGTGACTATGGCAGTGCAGAGTTTGAAGTCGTAGCACCAGGATCTTTCTCTGTATAATCCTCTCCATAGTCCTAACCCTCTCCTGGTGTTAATGAAACAGGAAATGGTTTGAGTAAGTTCTGGATTGAGTGGAATTCCCCAAAGAGCGGTCCTGGCTCTGGCTCTGGTCCCGCGTCCGGTTCATGGCCTCGGTGTAAACGTGTCAAAAGGAGACCGCTGAATGTTGTTCTGCAGTTTTTTAAATATTTCTTTGTATGGTGAGACGTAGAGCAACATGGTGACAGGTCAAAGCTCCCGGGGCCTCACAGAGTCTCAGGGCCCTCTCCTCTCACAAACCCCTCAGTGTTGTGTTTCTCAGCCTGATTCAACACTTTTCAAATGTCAGGCTGTGGACGTACGATGGAGGCCGCTTCAGATCTGAACTCTCCTCTGTCTGGGGCCAGATGTGCAGACAGTAAACATGAAGCGTCTTACAGGGAATTTACACAGTAGGCGTAAACAGCGCGTACGCGTTTACTGCGCGCTCTCTGCGCGTAACATTTTTTTGGAGTATCTACACAGGCCGTGTGCGCAGGTCCGCGTCTTCTGATGCTCTCCCTGTGTAGTCTATGGAGCAGTGTAGAGGACAGTTCGGGTCAGAGGACTGATGTAGAGCAACACAAATCACATGCATGTGTTTGTCTTCATGGTCTCTGTGCGCTGGTTTGGCCAGACGCGAGACTTTATGAAAGAAAAAAACCGATGTCCAGAATCACTGTAAAACCTGCTGCTCCTCCTGCTGATGTTTAGACACAAGTGATGTGTGTGTGTAGATACGATCTAGAGCCAAGGACCGCTAGAAAAATCATGTTTTACATGAGATTTCAATGGGAGACGCGTTGGTGCGCGCACAAAATTAGAAATCCATCCTAAATTAGAGCGCAGCTTCGCGTCATACGTCCGTCATACGCGCGTATAACGCTAGAAGTGTAAATATCATCATAGGTTAACATGGAAAAAAGTTACGCGCGTCTGCTGCGCGTATAACACGTACGTGCTGTAACGCGTGATGTGTAAATTAGCAGTTATGTTCAGAATCAGAATGACTTTTATTGTCATTGTAAGTAAACAGGAAGTGAGAAACTAGGAATTTTCTCTGCTCAAGGTGCAGACAAGTTGTAAAAAGTACGAGGTAAACGCATGCATAAAAAAGCCTTCCGAAGATTTCAGAAAAAATACTTCTATAAACACAATACACTAAATACACACAATTGACAGAGTTAATAAGCATTACAGCTGCTTGTATTTATGGCCATACAGTACCTCCATGTGAAAGCCATATATCCCCACGGGCGGCACGGTGGCTGAGTGGATAGCACTCTCGCCTCTCAGCAAGAAGGTCCTGGGTTCGAATCCCGGTCGGACCAGGGCCTTTCTGAGCTGCCTTGCTTCTGTCAGTGTGACCCAGGGCAGCTGTGGCTACGGTAGTTTCTCACCACCGTGTATGGAGTGAATTATCTTCCAAAAAAGCACTATTTAAAAACCAATGCATTATTATTATTGTATATAATTTGTAATCTCCTTGTGTCTCTTCCTTGTCTTATAAGTGTGCTACAACATGGACATTTCCACTCTCCGGGTTGAACAAATCTCTAATCTTAGCTTGTAATGAGCCCTGGATACATGCGCTCAATAATTCAACCGTTCAACTAGAATCTGCCGTGTGTCTTTTGCGTTGACGTTTTGACAGCAGCACACACATGTCCTCACACGCTCCTTAAATATGAAATCTCTTGTGTTCTGCCTCTCATTACAGGCTGTATCAGTGTCCGTGTCCATATTTGTGTAACGTAAGCCCATAGTTGATCCTCGGCACTGATATTCTAATCCTTCAGATGGTTTTCACCCGCGTGGCTTGTGTTTCCTTTCTTTTCATCACTGTCCATTTCTCTTGACCTCTGTGAAGTTCCTTGGCGTCTGTAATGAGGCTGTGTGACTGTTCAGGTGCTTTCAGGGGACACGGCTTCTTTGTAAATGTTGGCTCCTGATAATACACAAAATATCATGATTTTGCTTTTATATTTGATTTCATAGTCTGTCCTCAAGCTGCTGCACGACTTAAATAAGGCGCTCCAATCCAGGTGGAAATGATTTGCTTATTTCAGGAGCAGCAGTGGGTTATTTTTGTCTGACATTTCTTCCTCCCACTCCTTTTCAAGTTAGAATAATGCACAATATGATGTAATTGTAAATGAAAGATTTGCAAGAAAATTCTATGGAGTGATATTTGATGACTCATGTTTGATCTACATTGAACTCAAAATAAAAAAAACACTCAACTCAACATTGTGAACTTTTAGATTTTAGGTCACATGCAAGACCTTGTACATTTTACAGTAAGTAAAAGAAAACCTGGAAACGTATGATGTTGTTAATGTATACCAAGAATTTTAGTGCTAATTAAGGCCTGATTGAAAGGGGTTTAGGCTGAAATCAAGACCTGAAGCCGAACTACTGTGACAAGTCCAAAGATGACACATTATACAGTTCTCTTCTACCAACGATGGTAACTTCAACAATCAAACATTTGTAATGCATCAAATTGTTCAAGTGTTCTATACGTTGTCAATAAGTTGTATCTAGACTGTTCCATAGATCGACGTCTTTGACTGACAGACACCTGCTCTCAGTATTTCAATCTGGAGAGACCACACAGAGACAGAAAGTGCATCAATTATGTATGTATTCGTTTGTTTGGTACTTGGTCTGTGAAGATCATGGCAGTTGGCGTCGGTTGGCAGGTCAGTTGGCATAGGTTGGCAGGGCAGTTGGCGTAGGTTGGCAGGGCAGTTGGCGTAGGTTGGCAGGGCAGTTGGCGTAGGTTGGCAGGGTAGTTGGCGTAGGTTGGCAGGGCAGTTGGCATAGGTTGGCAGGTCTGTTGGCATAGGTTGGCAGGGCAGTTGGCGTAGGTTGGCAGGGCAGTTGGCGTAGGTTGGCAGGGCAGTTGGCGTAGTTGGCAGGGTAGTTGGCGTAGGTTGGCAGGGCAGTTGGCGTAGGTTGGCAGGGCAGTTGGCGTAGGTTGGCAGGGCGGTTGGCATTGTTTGGCAGGTCAGTTGGTGTATGTTGGCAGGGCAGTTGGCATAGGTTGGCAGGGTGGTTTGCGTAGCTTGGCAGGGCAGTTGGCGTCGGTTGGCAGGTCAGTTGGCATAGGTTGGCAGGGCAGTTGGCGGGTCAGTTGGCGTAGGTTGGCAGAGCAGTTGGCGTAGGTTGGCAGGTCAGTTGGGGTAGGTTGGCAGGGCAGTTGGCGTAGCTTGGCAGGGCAGTTTGCGTCGGTTGGCAGGTCAGTTGGCATAGGTTGGCAGGGCAGTTGGCGTAGGTTGGCAGGGCAGTTGGCGTAGGTTGGCAGGTCAGTTGGCGTAGGTTGGCAGGGCAGTTGGCGTAGGTTGGCAGGGCAGTTGGCAGTGCTGTGTGGTTGGCTTGGATGGGACGGGCTGCTGCAGGTACTGTAGACAACCCACACGCTGCATTGCTCTTCTTCTGCGTCTGTATCTTTCTCTAGTCTCATATTTCTCGTTTAATTTCTCGTAAACAATGAGGAAGCATAAGACTGTGAGCCTTGTACATCACAACATCAACAAAATCATAAAACGCTAAGATATTCAGCTTAAATAAAATGCACTTATTTATAGTCCTAGAATCTATAAAGTCATATTCTCAGTGGATAGAGGGGATGCACATGGCTCCATTGACGAGGACAGGAGCTGGCTTTTCACCATAGCTCTGTCCCTCTTTCCTAAACTGTAATTTCCCATCCATCCTTCGCTGAGAGGGCTCTTTCTCTGCCCTTCCCCGTCCGTCGACCACTCGTAATGAACCAGATTCATCCAAATTGCATCCTGTACTTTGTTAGGCTCTGGAGGCAGCACCCGGCCTCCTCTTTATGATCGCAGATGTGGAGCGAGCTTTCATGTCCCTAATTTTACTGCCAGTACCCAGCTTTCAAAAATACTTCAAAGATTGGAGTGACTTTTATTCTCTAATTCAAAATAAAAGCCTCGGATGCGCGCTTCATTTGTGCGCCTGGCGGTGGGAAGGGCGGTGATTTGTTCGGCCTTCGTGGCTTCTACTCCAGATACACTTATGAGAGCAGCGAGTCAGAGTGGGCTGGGACTAAATTGATACAGCCTTTTTCAGCTCTAATTCAGAATCAGACATTTAGAGAAATAATTTATGGACAATTTCACTTCTATTACTGCTGTGACAATGGCGGATCAGTCCATGGAAGCGCTTTGTTTGCTCAAGTTTCGCAAGGCAACAACCTGCTTATATATTACATAACCTTTTATAAGCAGTTGATTGAGTGGAGACCTGCAGCCCACGGACTAATCTTACATTGATTCTTTTTTTGAGATTCTCCCAGAGGTTTTTGAGTTATCTTTGCCTCAAAACATACCTGCTTTGTCCATGGCACTTTTCTTCTCCAGACTTTGGGTTGTTCTTCACAATAGGGATAAACGTTTCTACTGCTGCGGCTGTTTTTGTGTGGGGAAAAAAAATCAAAATGGTGGACTTTATCTTCCCCATAGATGCACAGCGTCAAACAGCATATTTATTTTTTTGCAGAAACTATTGAATTTCTTATTGTTCATGGTTCACAGTCATTTATGGAACAATGTTTTGGCTGTGTTGTGGACTCACTGATTACTATTATATTTCTATGCATGCGTTCTCCTGTCGTTTTTGAGTTTTCTTCCTGTCTGTTCTATTGTGGAGAGAATGGAACAATATCTGAACTCTGAACATTGTAAAGCACTTTGGGTGACGTTGGTTTGTAAAAATACTCCCACTGATGTCTGCTATTGCTGTGTCCTTGGGCAAGACACTTAAACCCACTTTGCCTGAAGCCCCCGCTGAACGACCAAGGCTCCCGTGGACTCACCGCCTGCAGGAGGATCAGTGAGGGGCTGGTGCTCTGTGAATTGTGTGAATCTCTGACTGCCACCCCCCCCCAACCCAGAAATGGATTAAGGGGAAGAAAATGGATGGATGGATGGAATGGTCTGTAAAAATGTGCGTAAAAAAGTAAACATAACTCACTTACTTACTTTACATTTTCCTCTCTCCTGTATATATTTGGAGAGATGGGCCGTGGATCCGATTGCTTGGAGGTCCATTACAGGTGTATCCAAACTTAGAATTAGCCAAACTTTCCTTCTTGCTGGAACAGTAAGAGAACACCGAGTTTTCTGTGACGCAGGTAAATGATCAGGCTACAAATAAACGGCCTCTTCGTCTTGAACCTTTCGCGCCTCCAGCCTCCAGCCTCCAGCCTCCAGCCTCCAGCATCCCAGACGGTGACAGCTGACTGGAGCAGAATATGGATTCACGTTGACGGCACATGAGAGCTGGCTCACACACACTCGATTATCGTCCTGGAAGAAAAACCCGTTTCATCCGTTGATTTGTTTGATCCACTTCTTCTCCTCGTATTTGATGGACGGCCCTCATTAACACTACTGAACACACACCTGAGCTCATCACTGACTCAATAGATACAAGACCACTCTTTGAAAACTTACCAAAAAAAACGGATCTTCTTTTATGTCTTGGATCAGAATGGTAATTTTGGCTGCGATGTGTGTCTGGTTGGGATTATTGCATCAGATTTGGGTGATAATTCTGCACTGACACCTCATATGGCTTACAACTGTGACTTTGTGGACATTTATGATTCAATGATTCAAGCAATTAGATATTTATCTGTAGAGCACATTTAAGACAGCCGGGGTTTACCAAAGTGCGGTACAGACAGTAAAAAACAGCAGATTTTTATTTTATTTTATTATCATTATTTTTATTAATTATCATCCTTTTCATTATTTTTGTTTCTTTATTTTTTGTGTTAAATGTCATATGCTATCTCTCCTCTTGGGGATATTGTGGGAGGGACTCGGGGTAAAATGTATTCTTAAAATGCAATAAAAAAAAAAAAAACAGCACAATAAAAACACATACAAATACAGAAATAAAACGGAAAACTTGTCTCTTTTTACCTGGTATTAAAAGCCAAAGAGAAAAGGTGCGATTTGATAATAAAGGCAGTTTTTGCCGAATTTGGTGAAGTCCTCCTCGCGTCACCTGCTTTTATATATCAGGGTCATACAGATAAAATTGAATTGAAATGGAATTGGCTCGTAACAAAAGGCATTCATGGAGCAAATCTCATTTTGATCAATAATGCACCTCCATATCCTTTGCAAATCGGTTCACACGCCGTTAATAACTTTGATATTTGGTCCAATGTGGTTCTCTTGGTCTCCTGAAAGATTCTACAAGTGTTTTTTAAAAATCCTGACACGCATTTTTACACAATTTTTTGGCGCTGTCTTCCTACCACCAGAGGCAGGACGACAGCGCCACCTGCTGTACAACCTCTTCAGGACTACATTATGGACTGGAACATGGCAAATATGATGGGGGCTGAGAACAACAAGAACGCTGGATCAAAGAGGCGATAGAAATACAGAATAATGCCCCCAAGACCATAAACCGGGACGAGGGGGCTTTACTACTACCACACACCTAGGATTCTGTTCTGAAGAAGTCGGACTGCAGGTGGCGCTGTTGTCCTGCCTCTGGTGGTAGGAGGACAGTGGCAACAACGGTGTAAAACAGGAAAATCACGTGACCGCTCAGAGGAAGATCGCGCTCTAGCTGTCCGAACTGTTAGCTACAAAACTCACTCTGATCATGAAAAAATATCCAAGAAATCTGGATTTTTAAAATGTATTGTTATTCCTCAACTTTCGATGGTAAAATGGAATCTGGGAGGGGCGTAATTTGGGATAGCATACTGTATTTTCATAAACACAAGACAAATATTGCCCTCAAAACGGTTTAGTTCTAGCACTAGTTTTCACATGTATGTAAGTTTGGCCCCTGTCTCAGTTTTGACCCTTTAGATCATGTTTTTCAGATAGAAGATTGAAAAAGAGGCCACCCTCACTCAGCCAACCCGAGTGGTACTGCAACCTCTCCCACTGAGAGGTTGCAGTACCACTTTTGGCCACATGTTTACACACTTCTTTAAATGAGGGGGTTATGAAGTTGTATTTTTTTTTGGGGACAATACAGAGATCGGGTTCAGTCTGTCTCAGGCGTCTCTCTGTGTCTTACATAATTACCACGACGTCTCTTTGAGCCTTGAGCTGGAGGTGAAGCGCCAACACTGATCTCTGTGAATGCACGTCTCATTAATATGGATCCGGAGACGAGTCTGCTGTCGGTAATTTAATGATGACAGGTGATATGGCCGCCCTGATTTGGACTGACGCGAGGTACGGCTCATTGTGCGAGAGTCTCCGAGGTGTTCTCCGCTCGGCTGCAGTTTGTCTGATCGTGTGGAGGTGATTTAAGCTCCGGCGTGGCAGCTGCGATACACACCATCCATCCACACTTCAGCCTCTGGGCTCCTGATGGATGGCCAGATTGATAGACACACACACACAACTCAAAAAGCTTATGCCACCACTTAGTGAAGGTCAAAAACTTCTGCCTTTTGTGCTACACAGAGCAGACTGTGCATGTAAATCAGCTCAAGTCTAACTTCCCTCGGACTTTCCACCACTTTATCAGAGACTGTAGCGATATTTGGTGATACTGGTGCATTACACTGTCTCTGACTTATAATCCAACAATAACATTCAACTGTTGAACTTTGTTGAGGTTTTAGTTTGATTGGTCCCAAGTCTCTCTCAGGACCATCAGGACTCAGTTTTATCTGGTAAAACTTGGAGCTGACCGTGGAATGTGATTTGTCTTTTGGGCCACTTTGGTTGAAGCAGTGGCTTAAAGGCATGAACAGAACTGTTGAAGAGGAAAAAGATTTGATTTCATTGTTGTGATTAATCGTAATCGGAACATGATAAATTGTTTAAGCGGCGCTGCACTGCACTAAACTCAACATTAACATTTTATTTCACTCACAAACGCTTTTAAATATGAATCATACTCTTGTCTAAACTGTAAAGTGTATTATGGGGTCATAGATGACCTCATAGGTCAAAGGTAATACTTGATGGATTACTCCATTACTATAATAATCTATAACTGTGGTCGTGATGCAGACTATTATACAGTTATGTTGGGATAGCACCAGGTGACCACATAGAACCATGGAACATCAAATACAAATACTGTAACTGATCATGAAGTAGCTCCAAACGTTTCAAAGATGTTAGTTTGAAATAATAAAGAAAAGCCTCAAATGTGAGTGAGAACACACAGTGTGTATTTTCTCAAGCTCTCAGAATGATTGACGTCTCAGAGCTTTTATTTTCCTATACCTCTGGCATCTGACAAAGAAGGGCCTAAATTAAGGGCTATTATTGTTGCCAAGGCAACCCCCTGGTAATTTTCTGTAATTTTCCAAAGAGGGATTACTATTGATGTAGAGTCCATATTGAGCTGGAGAACAACACACACACACACACGCACGCACGCACGCACGCACGCACGCACACACACACACACACACACGCACACACACACACACACACACACACACACACACACACACACATGCGCGTCTGCAGCTCTGATTGTGTGTGTCGCAGATGTGGATGTGTTTCTATGGGAGGATCTGTGCTTAGTCATCATTGCACTGAATAGAGCCAGCCCAGAAATGTACATTTCTCTCTGGGCTCACCTCCCACTAAGCTGCCTCCTAAAGATAAGCCTCTGAAGATTGACACATTTTTTTTCATCTGAAATTTCTCGTTTTCCGTCCACTGTTTCTCTGTGAAATTCCCATTATCTTTGATGCCCCACTTTCAGCTGATTGTATGAGTCGGACTGTAGCTGCTGACTCATTGTTCTCTGCTTTTGTGTGTTTTCTGCAGCTTTGCAATGGTGGCTCTGTGACGGATCTGGCTAAAGGCTTGATAAAGAGAGGAGACAGAATGGATGAAGCAATTATTGCCTACATCTTGCACGAGGCTCTCATGGTGAGTCTGTTGTCTGCACAATAAACAGCTCCAATAAAAGAGTTAAACGGACTCATTTAAAGGCAGGTGGTTTTCTCGTGTCTTTCTTTCAGGGCCTGCAGCACTTGCACATCAATAAAACCATCCACCGAGACGTGAAAGGAAACAACATCCTCCTGACGACACACGGAGGCGTCAAACTGGTGGACTTTGGTACGAGCTCCTCCTCTGACTTCAAACTTCAGTTTCATGTTAATGCTGTAATTAACATGAAAAAAATCTTGACAAAATCACAAACACAAAAGGCATCGTTCCTGCATTCTGTATACTTGGTTGCATTCCAAAGAGTCTGAAGTCCAAAACATGTCTGACCAAAACATGTCTGACCTCAGAGCGGCTGTAGACAACACAAGGACTGAGGCCCTGTTTATACTGAGACTCTGCGCAGACGTTTCCAGGCTATTAACAGAAACGACCTGGCTCCTAATGCAAATTTCACAGCGTTCACACGAGATTCAAAAACTATGTAGTTTTAGCGCCCGGACAGTAGTGGGCAGAGAAACTTTACAACACGACACATGCAAGCCCCAGTCCCATGTCCAGCCCCCCCCCTCGGCAGTATACTCACTTCCTCTGCAAGACGTGGAAGAATGCACCAACATCATTCTGCATTTTAACAGCAGCTGTGAAAATGGGAACTGAAACTAGAGCTTCGCGTGGTCTCGTTTGAACGAACGAAGGTGTAGAATTATCCTCTGTGCAGCGCTCGAAGCACATGAAGCTAGTTAGTTTACCCGCCGCCATTGTTGTTTACGTTTGTTCTCTGCTACTGTGCAAATGTACGTGCGGGGAGCAGCGGGGAGGTGGGGGTCAGAGCAGGCAGGGATTTCACACCTTTTTCCCTCTTGCGGGTGTGAAGAAGTTCCCTGCTGAGCAGCGTATACACGTAATAATTTCTCATAATCTGCCTATACTGTATGCAGCACGGTGGCTGAGATGATTGCATTCTCGCTTCTCAACAAGAAGGTCCTGGGTTCGGAACAGGGCCTTTCTGAGTGGAGTTTGCATGTTCTCCCCGTGTCTGCATAGGTTTCCTCCGAGTGCTCCGGTTTCCCCTACCACTAAAAACATGTACAGTAGTTCTGGCATGTGCCTCCTGTACTGGCCCCGCTCCCATCTCTGTGTGGAGAGACAGACAGATGCCCACAATTGTAAACCGGTTTTTGACTCTGGTCTGTGAAAGGCGGTATAGAAATAAAGATTACTTACTCACTTATTTACTTATATCAATTTCAATCAATCAATTTTTTTCACTCAAGACAACCAAAGTGCTTGACAATAAAATCACAAAAAACAGTCATGCAATCAAACATTAAAACAGTTGAAAAACATTAAAAAAGGATTATATATGGGTTAGGAAGTTATGATTAACCCACGTTACATGTTTTGCCTTCACCCTGATACATTCTACATTGAACCAATATACAGTACATTTCTTGGACCAATTTAGACTACTGTTTGTAAGAAAAAAATCCCATCTTGGCTTCACTGCTGGTGCTTTGCTGGTGTGTTTTGGGTCAAATTCATTTCCCGCCTCTCCAAAATAAATTGCAGCGGTAACGACTTCGAGCTCAGAATAGACTCAGACTGACGGCTTGGCAGACGCCGAGCCGCCTTCGTTTCGTTTCAGCGTATCTCTTACTCTCTGCGGACAGGAGCGGACGTCGTGGCCACTCACCTCGTGCCAGCCCTGATTTGCTTGCCAGGTTTGCTAGGTTTTCTTAAGCAAATGAGTCTGAAGATCGAGAGCTCCTAAAAGGCAAAGTGCGTACACTCAAAGAAATGATTCAGGTGGTTAGTATTTTGAACTCAAAATACATACTAAACTAAACTCAATAATTGATTTTTGCCAGTTTTACTTAAATTAGTGTGGTCGCAACTCATTTTAAACATGCCTGTCTCAATTAAAAGTTAATACAAGAATCCTAACTCATTTTTGTAACAAATTTGAACTTGATATTCTGGCATAACTGGACAACGGAGAAGTATTGAGTTTGCTCAACATGAAAATCCTCTTGTAAGCCTGGTGGCCCATTAATGAAAAAACAAATATATTGAGTTGATTCAAAATAAATATATTGTATTGATTGAAAACAAAATGTGGCGAAGCAGTGACGCTACCCAGAATGCATTGCAGCGAAAAATATAAACTTCTCAAAAATTCTACATTTGAGCATTAATTTTAAAACTGAATATGAAGCAAGTCCTAAAGCAAAATACTTGAGCAACATTCTGAATAAACTAATTTGACCAAATAAGTAATTGTATTTATTTTTATCAACCATGATCGAGAGGGCCAAGCCAAAGCAGTCCTATACTCCCTGTGTCACCCTTCAATATTGAACAAATACTTTAAGGTGGACATGTTTACCAGTGACTGTGCTGGCCCACTCTCATATATATGTGGAGTGAGAGACTACTGCCTAAAATTAACAGTTGTGAACCGTTTTGTGAATCTAATCTTTGAAAGATGGTATTTGAATAAAGATTACATATTCCTGACTGAAAATCACTTGTTGAATATACTCAAAAAGATTTATTTTCAATGTAATTATTTAAGTTGGTAGTATTGTTAAAATTGAGTTGAACTGATGCTAAAACACTTGCTGAATATACTTAACAAAGTGTCTTTATAACTCAATTATCCAAGTTGGTGGTATTGAAAAAATTGTGCTGGACCAATGATAAAAGACTTACAAAGAATACTTAAAACACAGTCTTGTTCGCAAAACTTAAAAAGATGCATGCAAAATGCTGCCTCAATTTTATTAAGTTTTGCCAATGCATTTTTTTTTAGAGTGTATACGACGACGTGAGGATGACGCACCGTGTGTTTGTCTGCGGGGCCCCTACAACCAGCCGCCTGTTTCATCCCCAACACAAAGACACACTTATAGCTGGACGTGTGCGAGCGCGAGGCTAATTGTGCTGCTCTTAAAAGCCCCTTCCGAAGCATGTAAACACAAAGTGAACATCTCCAGCAGCAGGATTAATGGAGTCACTTAGGGCTGTGTGGATGGAGATACTGCTGCCCTCTTCACGGAGCACTCAGAGGCAGTTTTGAATCTCCACGCTTAATGGAACAATGTGCTTTTACTGTTGTGTGTGTGTGTGTGTGTGCGTATGTGTGTGTGTGTGTGTGTTTTGGTCGTTATTAATGGAATCGTCACACAAACCAGATCGGGCAAGATTTAGATTTATCTGTTCATGTAGATCAGGGCTGTCCATTCTTTCTTAGTGAGAGTGCCACTTTAGTTCACCCGACTTGTCTAGGAACCGACAGAAATAGGCTTTTCAGAGCTTTAAAACCATAATTATGGTTTAATAATGATAATGTAGTGTTTTTATATAACACTTTTTTTATATACTCAAAGATGCTTCACATGTCATTATTCATTCACTCCCTAAAAAAACTTTGTACCACAGCTGCCCTGGGGCACACTGACAGAAAGGAGGCAACCAATATGTGACATTGGCCCCTCCGACCACCACCATTCATACACACACACACACACACACACACACACACACACACACACACAAGCACACGCACACGCACACGCACACGCACACGCACACGCACACGCACACCCACACACACACACCAGTGTTTCCCACACATAGACTAATCTGTGGCGCACCGCCACAAATTGCGTTTCGTATTATTATATATATATATTTTTTGTTACGCTATTTAAAACATGCATCGTCTAGTGCCGCCGCAGCGGTCAATTTGACAGCGGGGAGGGGGGTTTAAAATGTGGCGGCCCTTCGTAACTCTCACTCAAGCTACACGTCTCTCCCACATACAGAGATATACACACACACAGCCCCTCCCCTTCGTGCACACCGCGTGTCTCCGTCTCCATCAGCGATCATCGCTGTAAGCAGCTGTGTCTATTAATTTTGGTGCAGAGAAGACGGCTGGTGAAGTTCACTAAAGGTTGGTATCCCGTGATCTCGTAAATCACACATTAAAAAGTGCTGAATGTTCAGTGTCAATGTTGAATTTCCGTCCCGACTCCCTTAACAAGCGATGACGCTTTCTTTATAAAGTTAATTAGTCGCAAGTTTGCGGTATGTAGTTGGGTTGTCGGGGTCAAAACACTATGTAGCAGCTGTAGCAAGAAATAAAGTTATAAGTAACGTTATGTCATTTTTTTACTCTTACACTGAATGTTTGCTTTGCGAGTATTGAACAATATTTTCCGCGATTGAAAAAGACACGCGTTGAGGATGAGGATCAGCCTGAACCAGAGGTATCGGTCTGAAACAGTCCGCAGTGTAATTAGCTATATAAGTTGTTTACAATATTTTCAGGCTTCAACCAGTGCTGCTCAAGCAGAAAGACAGGGTCAGGGAGAGAACGAGATAGAATTGATTATATTCAATATTATATTCAAGGTCAGTGAATTGACCTGACACACACACACACACACACACTAATGCCACGACAAACCCTTATCTTTCAAGAACAAGAACCAGGAGGAGCTCTTGTGTTTACTGGCAAGTGAGTTTGATGAGTGGGCCAACCTCTACCCCTGCCTGAGCCTTCTGGCAAGCATTGCTTTGGTTATCCCTGTTTCCTCTGTGAACTGTGAACGGGATTTCTCTGCAATGAACAGGGTAATAACAATACAAAATTCCCATTGTCTTTATATTGGTGCATTTTGCATTGATAATAATTTATCATTTTGCTTTATCTCCAGGTGAAAACAGACCTCAGGAACAAACTGCAAGGAGAACACCTGGCAGCTTGCTTGAGGATCTCCATCAATGGACCCTGTCCTGAGGACTTCCCTTATGATATGGCATTAAAATCTTTTTTTCGCCAGCCCCGAAAAATCAGGTGCTCTGATAAAACATGCAAACTTTGCACCAAGTAGGTTTATACAGCGTTAACAGTATTTATAGTGTAATATAGTGTTTATACAGCGTGTGAATAATGTTATTTTTTGCAACAAGTAGGTTTATACAGCGTTAACAGTATTTATAGTGTAATATACAGCGTGTGAATAATGTTTGATATTTTGATCAGTCCAATAAAGCTGTATTTGACCAATTAACGATGTCATTGTTAATTTTGGCCGGCCGACCAGCACCCCCCCCCCACCCCCACCACACATTGCCTTCAAACCTGTGGGAAACACTGC